CTGTCGGGTTCAATTAATATTGTAACTAATATTAGAGTTTTGATCTGATAGGATGTTCGATCAATCTATGGCTTGGATCTAACCGAACCATTTTAGTGAACAGATAGTTACCTAGCTATATTTTTTTGTATCTTCAAAAGATTTGTGCGTTGTTTATTTGTGATAGCGACATACACAGCATCGTGGATCCACTATTTTTTATGAAAACCAGCGGGTTAAGTTTTTCATTTAATTACTCATTAGTATGAGGTATTCTTATAATATTTCTAGTACAAGATGAAAATTGAAAATATTCTTAGTAACGTTCTTGCCAAGGAAGGCGTAGAGACACTTTCCTAGAGAGAGCGCTATGTAATGATTGCAACATTTGCAACTATATTTGAGTAAGAACAGCAGTAGCCAAGAATTAGCTTCAAATATTTTATGATCACTAATCTATTATTCGGCGATAGCATCATTCAGATATTTCGAACAACATCAACATCTCAACTCCTAATCATTATAAAAATCAAGTCAAGAGCCCTCATTCTCGCTTGATGGGTATACAAGTATTTTCTCCATTGGCACATCTGTTACTAAATATGACGTCGTCTTAAGTAGAGGGGGGATGCCGAGAGGATCGCGGGGAGGGGGGATCGCAATCCCTCTCATTTAACACCGCTTCTCTCTGTAGGTGTTTGCCGAAGCGATTCCAACGGATCCTCCTTTTATGGTGGTACTTACAGCCTCATAGTGATTCGCCGTTTTATTTCGGACGGCTCATGTAGCACATTTTTCATGCTACGAAAGCGAACAGTAATCTTTGCATTTATGCCGTGATCCTTTATTGATTTTAGATTTTTAGTTGAAAACGAAACGAATGAAACGAGCGTGAATGGAGACGCGCCCGCCAAAAGCCGCCGTAAGCCCTCGCTATGATATAGACTCCCATTCAGCCGGCATATATCAGAAAACCCCAAAGTTATTCACTCAACCACGACACTACCCCGAATTTTTGCTTTATCAATCTCTGATTCGAGCGAATTATAAAACCGTTAATTTAATAAACGATCGTCAACAATTTATCCGCGAAATAAAGCTGCATTTCTTCTCCGAAACATTAATGAAATTGCGTTTAAATATTTAATGATTACAAATCTTGTTTTCCGCGACCACACATAGATACAAATAATTCTGACTAAGGAAAATTTCAAAAGAAAAATACCCTAATTAATTTTCATTCGGGCAATCAAAACGAACCCAATTTGTTTCACTTACACCTCGGCTAAATTCCGACATTTATAACGATACGCAGATTTAACATATTTTTTTGGTTCGCTTTACTCGCCTTAAGCCGAAAAGAAAAACAAAAGGAGACCTACCATTAAAATAAATAAAAGGAAATAAAGCACCAACCGCAAATTATTTCACTTACCTACTTCTTTTTATAAAAATGCGAACGACGCATTAAATTTTGGGGAGAAAGGAAACTCCCTTGTAAGCAATATCGAGGAGGCAAATTTTTCAGATATTGCCTTCAGGTAGCGCACATTTATTATGTACCCGAATATATTACTCTTGATTCATTGACTTTCGATATTGATTTACTTAGCTTGCATAAGCTGTAGTTGGGGCGAGTCATGGGCAAACTCAGAGCTTTGATCTGAAGAATTAGGGGCCAAGTTCGTGTGTGGACACTTCGCAAGTTGCCTTAGTTACGTAGAGCGAGATTGAAACCAATGCATACCGTCCTGTCTGCTAAGCAAGCAATCACGTCAGTACAGTCGGGGGCACATCAGGCTGTACATAACACATTTTTGTTGCAAAATGGCGCCTATAAGAAGCTACAGTGTTTAACTTGATCTGCTGCCGTTTGTACAACATATCACGCAACTTTTAATAAATAATAGATAGGTACCTATTAAATAAAAGTAGGAAATCGAATCGTGTAAGCAAGAGTCTGATAAAAAATAACGAATACAAATATCATAATTAAAAAGGATATGAAGTCTCTCATTATAAACAAATTATTATTTTCAATATTTAGTAGCATAATTTTCCGCGAGCTATTTTTATTTTCTTTTAATGCATCTCATCATTTAGTGCATTATACCTACTTACCTGATTCTAGTATAGGCACTCAATTTACATTATGACCTACTCGGGTTACGCCCAATAGTGCCCGAACCATAGCCCAAACTTGACTAACATTATGCATCACCAACCATCATCCAAGTTGGTATTACGCTCTTAATATCGTTGTATAAAGGGAACTTTTAAATTGCTATCACTTCCATGGCACTGCTTATACAGCCTAGGACGATGTCCGCTTGATTTACTGCCGTGATAAGGTGTCGACCTACAAACTTTCGTGCCTTCCCGTATTCTGTCGCGGAAGATTTAAAACCGAAAAAATAATGCAGGACACTACCAAATTTACGTAAATGGACCGTAAAAACTGGAATTAGAGTGCATTTTTGAGTGCATGTAAAAGCGCACGTGAAAGTTGATAGCCCGAAATTGTTTTAAACTGCCTTCTAAAGTTATATGAGTAAATAAAGTTACGTATTTTAATTCACATTAAGTCTTTATGGCGTGTCTTATGATTAAAAACACTTTACTATCTTTATAATGACTTCACAACTGAAAACGTAACAAAGTGACATGATCGAAATACAAGTTTAAGGTTTAAATGAAAGTTTAAATATGTATTAGAACGACTTCTTTAAACCATCACCTACATGAGTTAAATTTACTAGATAAAATCTATATTAATTTATTTATTTTCATGAAGTTAAGTGCCAATTTTAGATGTATTTTTTTAAGATCAAAATGTTATGTTTGGCAGCCCTGCACAGCTTACGAGAGAATGAAAACAACCTATACCCTTGAGAACTTGTTGCCAGCTATTACAATCACTATCTCGGTGAGCAACAATCAGACCACTACGTACACAAACTGAGTGGCTTAGCAACTCCGAGACAAGAAATAAGTTGTCAAAGTGTCGGGCTAAAGTTTCCCCGTTCGCGTCCCCCCTTGAATCGTCGGTTCCACAACTCAATATTGCCCTGGTTCGGTCCTGGAATAATATCCTAGGACTGATATTGGAGGCTCAGCTGGCCCTGAATGCAGCCTGCCAACCGTTACGCTGCCTCAGCCAAATCTAACGTAAACGTCTTTTGTTTATGCTTATTGGTATCGGCTACGGGCTATAGTTAACGTCCAGTGAATTAAAGGATTAGATTCGTTGCTAGAACTGGACGTAATATACTTTATGTAACTTTAATGTTATAGGTACAAGTATCTATTATTTTATTTTATTGTAAGAGAAACCCCATTAAAATGTTGATAAAAATACTATGGCATTTCTATGTATCTTTTTAAATGTTATTCAACACCAAAATCGACTTTTACACGATCGAAAAACAAAAGACGACCGACCAAGCGCGCGAAAATCGAACGAACATGAATGTCAGATAAAATAAAAAAGTGACGTATGATCGTAGCTGCCAGTATTTTTTTTGTTAAACTGATTTCTTTACGATATTTAAATTAAGTGATTGTTAATGAAATGTCTGGCAAGTGCTATTTAATTGAAAATCACAAAAATAAAATGTTAATTTTATCCTTAAAACTACAGTCCAAGATTGATTTTTCAAACAGGAATTTCCGTTGGCATCCGTTTCTCTAACTACACAGTAAATATAAACCAACATTAGCAAGCAAGGGTCAGTTGAGAACACGCAACGAAATATTCCAGCTATGTCCAAAGCAATACAGCCATTAAAGGAATTTAGTTTAGCAGTCTGCTAAAGTGAATACCGAAATCCCCACTCATTCAACTCGTCCGATGCTTAATTCAGTTGGAATAATTCGAGTTCTATTGTAAAGTTCCTAAATTTGAAGTCCAACATTTAAATGCTTACAATTCAAAGGTAACCGCAAATTTCGAAATGAGTATGCTTCTATAGAATGAAACTTATTTGCAAACCAATAACTTTGCTGGCCAGTCTGGCCGCGACCTGCCGTCCACTTCCTAACTATGCTGTAAAAGCATTCCCTTCTTCCATGTTTGACTAATCGTTTGAACTTCGGTTCTGAATCAGGGAAGAATGCACACATAAATTAATTTTGTTCGTAAAATTTTCACGTCCAACCATTACACCAATTTTGATAATAATTTAGACATCGATTACCTATAGATATTTACGCCCGTATTCACAAACATTACTATGAGGTATCACAGTGCGCGTAGACGCACAGGGTGACACACGAACCAATCATAGAGCTCTATTCATGGAGCACACTGAAAACCAGCGTCGTGGCTTCCCTCACCGGGGGCCACGGCATATGCTGAGTGGGGTCCCATTGCGATGGGCATCGCTGTGCGACAGGGTGGCACTGCTTAGTTTACTTGCTCATTCATTGTATGTTTTATGTCACCTCTGTCTTATTTGCTTTTTTTTTTTATTTTACCTCTTTTGTCTTTTGTGATGTCCATGGCAATAAATGTTTCTTTCTTTCTTTCTTTTTTTCTTTCTATTCAACGCTCTGCGTTCGATTTACTGCTTCACTTAAGCAAGCACGGTTCGTGAATACGGGCGTTAGTGACTGGTTTCTTGCGCTGCTTCTTCTCAGTACTGGTCCATTTACTGTCCCGAAGCATTGGTAGGATTAATACTGGGACGTGTAAAAATGCTTTTTGCAAAAAAATAATGAGTTTTTGCAGAATAGCATTGCCTTTTCGTTAGAATAACACTAATAAGTAACATTTTTAAAATTTTTAATTTTTGAGTTGAGTAGGTAGCTCTCATATCATGTCGATAGTCATTACTGACTATCGACAAGAGGACATTGCTTAATATCGGACAATATCTATATCTTGTTTGTAAACTTAATGACTTCGTGTTTGCTTTGAAATCTTACAGGTACAGCCTACACCTCATCATTTCTCAAAAACCCCTTTGAAATGATGTCTCCTTTTAAGTTACGTGTAGTTTAAGTAATAAGTCGGAACATACCTCGACCGCCTTGTTGTTGGGTCTTTCATAACCATAACTTCTGTGATTTCGCCGAATTTGCTAAAGTAGTCCCGGAGGCTTTCTGCAAAGAAGAGAAAATATTACTTAATTTGATTGCTCTATGAAAACTGTAAATAAATTGCGGTTTTGGTGGACTTTAGTAAGATTTGACTGCAATGTGCATTTGTTTATGTGTTTTCACAATTATTAAGTTACTAGCTTTCCGCCCGCGGCTTCGCCCGCGTGTAATTTTGTCTGTCACAGAAAAACTTTATCGCGCGCGTCCCTGTTTCAAAAACCGGGATAAAAACTATCCTATGTTCTTTCCCGGGACTCAAACTATCTCTATGCCAAATTTCATCAAAATCGGTTGCGAGGTTTAAGCGGGAAAGCGTAACAGACAGACAGACAGACAGACAGACAGACAGACAGACAGACAGACAGAGTTACTTTCGCATTTATAATATTAGTTGGGATTGCCATAAATAAAATTAACTGAAATTTGAAAAAAAAAGACAAGTAAGATAATGTATGCTTAAACANATTAACGTTTTTAATAAACTCATCGTTTTGTTCGGGTACTTTTCCAAAACTGCTTAAAGCGTCAATCATCAAGCCTTTGTTCAAAAAAGGGAACACTGAGGATATGGATAGCTATCGTCCCATTGCGTTGATATCAGTGTTCTCTAAGATTTTCGAAAAATGTATGTATAGGCAGCTAGTGGAGTTCTGTACTAAATATCATATTATAAGTAATGAACAATACGGATTCCAAAAAAATAAATCCACGACATTAGCCACTCATAGCCTTATGAAGTTTATTCTGACCAATATCAACAACAAAAACTTAACCACTGCCATATACATTGACCTATCCAAAGCCTTCGACCACGTTTCTCATAAATTGCTACTACTTAAATTAGAAGCAGTTGGTATAAGGGGTCCTGCACTGAATTGGATAAAGTCTTACCTTAGCGACAGACAGCAATGCGTTGTCATTGACAAAATAGACAAAAACAGCGAGTCTGTGACTTACAAATCTGAATATAAAGATATCCAACAAGGTGTGCCCCAGGGTAGCGTACTGGGTCCAATTTTATTTATTCTCTATTTAAATGACATTTTTGACGTGTCACACCATAAATGTGTAGCGTTTGCCGATGATATTTCGGTAGTAGTGACATCCAATAATACAATTACTGAACATGAAAATGAAATTATTAATACAATTGACTTATTACTAAAATGGCTTGACAAATACAACCTAAAAATTAACTTGACTAAAACTAACTACATAAAATTCAATAAATATAATATTAAAAACATTAAACTTGACATTCATTATAAGGACACAAAAATTAATGAGGTAAAACAAACGAAATTCTTGGGACTAACTATAAGATCAAGATATAAATTGGAAAGTTCACATAGATAATATTTGTAATAGAGTGAATAGGTTTGTTTATGCCTTGAAGCAATATTACGATATTACGATACGGGTTACTGATGTGGGGAAACAGTAACAATATCAAAAGAGCCTTCATTGCACAAAAAAANAAACGAAATTCTTGGGACTAACTATAGATCAAGATATAAATTGGAAAGTTCACATAGATAATATTTGTAATAGAGTGAATAGGTTTGTTTATGCCTTGAAGCAAGCGAGAAACGTCACTGATGTTAAAACTGCAATCACCATTTATCACGCATATGTAGGATCCATATTACGATACGGGTTACTGATGTGGGGAAACAGTACCAATATCAAAAGAGCCTTCATTGCACAAAAAAAATGCATTAGAGCAATATGTGGTGTTCCACCGCTTACATCCTGTCGACCACTATTCCAGAAACTTCGCTTGCTGACATTAACATCACTGTATATCCTAGAGATAAGTTTATTTGTAATGCAAAATAAGCATTTGTTTTTGAGGGCTTGTGACATTTATCCCAGAAATAGTAGAGATCCTCATAGACTGGTTCTGCAAGATACTCCAAAAACCATGCAATACAGCAAAAGCTGTTTGACTATGTGCGTAAAGGTTTTTAACAATATACCCAAAGAATTTAAAGAATTAAATATTTATCAATTTAAGGCGCATCTTTATAATTGGCTTGTCTCACAGAACTTCTATGACATTAAAGAATTATTAACTGTAAGGCCCGGCTAAACTTTGAGCATTGTTTTGAGTTTTCTTTACTATAATTTGCATGCTTAATTCTCTGGCTAAACATGTCTGAAACATTATGAATATTCCATCTTTGTATACCATGTTTACTGGCAAATAAAGATTTATTATTATTATTATTTATTATTATTATAACAAATAGCGTAGGAAGAGACTTAATAGGTTTAAATACTTTGAAAATATTATCAGATAGACAGGTCATTTACATGAATTAATAATTAGATTAACATATTTAATCAATAAATCTCATTTCATTTCATCAAAAATTTGAAGCGTTATGTTTTTCAATTAGAAGTAATCAGGCAGATTAAAAGATTATTATAACGTTACAGAAATTCCTAAAAAGTTCTTTTTACATAAATTGTTTACGGTCATCTATTCTGCAAGAGTTTTCCTTTAAACTCACGTAAAAACGTGCCACAAAAACCGTGAATTGATTCACAAATCTTTTACCAAGAATCACCCTAATTATCTATACAGAAATAGAAAATCTTTGCTTGAGTGGGTCCACCATTTTTCTCGTAACATAAAATGTTACGTATTGCTACAGCGACAAAGGACGTTCATGGTACATTCAGTCAACACTTCCACACAATGGAAGGGTCTCGTTTTGTAACGTTGAAGCCTTTTCGATTCGCAGTCCATAAAAGTAAGACGATAAGAGCCGTTTCCCCAAATGACTGAAAGTCTGCAGCTGGTTTGAGGACGTATTCCACTATGAGCACCCGCCCAAATAGCACCTTCACGGATAGCACCTGGCCTATTCCGCTTAGAGCACCTATCGATATTTTGGGCAGGTGCTCTAAGTAAAATTAAATTTATTTTTATGAATATTCCACTTAGAGCACCTACAACGCAGCAGCCTAGTGCGGGCTGCTAATATTGTGTATGATAGACAGGGCGTTATTAAATTATTCAACTTGGTTAAGTTGCCGTAGTACCTACTCTTGTTAGGAGCTATTTTTGAGAGTTTTCTCGGTAGTCCCGAAAAAAAGCATCGAAATAGCTCCTGTAAGGTTATGTTGACCTTCTGTAAGGTTCTTTTGAGGTGAAATTAATAACGTCCTGTCTAACAAAATTAGCAGCCAGCACTAGGCTGCTGCGTTGTAGGTACTCTGTGGTAAAAATAAATTTAAGTTCACTTAGAGCACCTGCCCAAAATATCGATAGGTGCTCTAGAAGTGGAATAGGCCAGGTGCTATTCGTGCAGGTGCTATTTGAACGGGTGCTCAAAGTGAAATACGGAGCACCGGTAATTTATCGTGGCACTGCTCTGCACTAGAGATTTGCCTCAACAAGAACCTCGAGTATTTAGTGTCGTGTTCCTCTATTTATATTGGCCTGATGAACGCGGCCGCACACTGGGAAATTCACGGTAAGATCTTTCATTGTTCTAAAATTTACGACTAGGTGCCAAGTAAAACAATTCAAATGTAAAAATATAAGTGTTGTTTTGGGGGAAGTATTTATTTTTATTTTGCACGATAATATTAATCCCAACTAATATTATAAATGCGAAAGTAACTCTGTCTGTCTGTCTGTCTGTCTGTCTGTCTGTCTGTCTGTTACGCTTTCCCGCTTAAACCTCGCAACCGATTTTGATGAAATTTGGCATAGAGATAGTTTGAGTCCCGGGAAAGAACATAGGATAGTTTTTATCCCGGTTTTTGAAACAGGGACGCGCGCGATAATGTTTTTCTGTGACAGACAAAATTCCACGCGGGCGAAGCCGCGGGCGGAAAGCTAGTTACAATATAAAATAACCTAAATGATCTAATAATGCTTAACATATTTTATACCGCTTGCAAATAAATCCACACTCTGCTCTGTCATTGATACATAGCTGTCAATATCGACACGAAAATAACCTGGAAGTGCTATCGCTCTTAAAAGACTGAAAAAACCACAACCCTTTCTGAGACAACATCTGTCAATCAGCAACCGTCAGAATCCCTTCCAGAACTTTCTAAAAGTGTGCGGGCGCGCCGACGACTCAAATGTCAGCCTTAAATACATGCAAGGAGCATCGCGAGATTTGTTTGCGACCACGCCGCAGCGTGAGTCACTAATGGATAGGGCGGAATGGTTCCCTCTAAAATGAAAATATGAATATGCTGATTTCCCACGTCCGTGTTTTTAGGCGTATTTTACATAATTTCCGGTCAGTAACCGACGCATTATTTTGATTAATTTTGATGTTATTCAAATAAATATGCAATCAATTAGGTGAGGCTCAATCGAATATTAATTAGCCAAATCAATGTTTAGATTTGCAGAGAATGTTTTGTCTGCCGCTATTGTATTGATAAAATCGTGGTAATTAATTAAAAGCCTGCAGGTATTGTAAAACTTATTACCTATTATTTCATGATACATCATTATTTTTGTGTCTGTAAACTCTTCACAGATCCAAAAACCAAAACCGCATGTACCAAATCTTTGGATAATTTTGTAGAAGTATTGAAAACACCTTTAATTATCCCAGCTTAAAGATCTCACCGTCCAATACCATTAGAATCAAGGTGATATTTTACAGAGCGCCATAAACGTCCGATTAATACTAATTACGGGCAAACAGGCCAATCAGGAGTGGCTTATTGTGGGATACATTCCAATTTAAAGTTGCCTTCAATCCGACTAAACCAAATGTTAGTCTGCCTTTAGAGTCGATTTTAGACGTTTCGCGAAGTTTTCTAATCCGCGGCGGCTGCACATCGGCCCGTAATGAAAAGTAACGATTGCATGCTGACTGTACCTACCATTCATCAGTGCACTATTTGTTGAGTCCGTTTTATGGAGCGAGATGCGAACTCAAGTCAAGGGCGATTTAAGTCTGATACATACAGATGTAAAAGTTGAACCATAAGAATATTTATTGGATTAATGACGTTAA